CGACCGACCGACCGACCGACCGACAGGCAGACAGAGAGAGAGAGAGAGAACCATAGAGAGAGAGAGAGAGAGTCAGAGCGAGCGCGAGCGACATCTGACCGCATAACTGCGGCATGATACGACGCGGTCTATCGTTCCGAGCGTCCCCGTAGGTGATGACATTAGGGGCGACGGACATGTTGTTGAGCAGCCCTTCTGCTGCCACTCGATCCCTCACAGAGGCATACAGGTCCTGTCAAAAATCGACTGCACATCTGCAAAATGCAGTACGCCCCAGTCGTCAGTCCATCAAGGCTGTGTAGCACGCCACGTCCGGCTGCAAGGCATCAAGCTTCATTTGCTGCAGAAGTGCCTGGCAGGCAAACACTTGGTGATCTGGCTGTGGGCCTTCGGCACTGAGCCATGCTCCACTCTCGATCGCATCTTGCTCAGAAAGCTTACGCACAAAGAGAGAGGCATGAAGTGATCTCGCGCCGCATCGCGTGCACCTCTGCGTCCGTGCGCCGCGAGTCAGCAGCGTAAGAGCCTCGCTTCTAATCTAATTAACGATCGATATTTCTGCTTTATGCACGGTTGCATGTTGGAGGGAGCTCGAGCAGTGCAATAATGCAAGACTGGTCACGAATAAGAGTAGTGCAAGTCATCAGATCTGGTTGAAGCCGCGCGCTGCCTGCGCAACAAACACCCACAAGAATCCCGCCAGAAATCATCAGAACGCGTCAGAACCTTCCTCCGTCTCATCTTTTTCAGACGGGTGTTATCCACTTCAGTAAGAAGTCCGTGATGACATGCTCGTGCCCCACACCGCAGTCTAACTTGGCGCCCCGCGCAGGTCTGCTGAGAGTTTTTCGGCTGCTTTGCTTCTTCCCGCCGCCACGCATGCCTTGATCCAAGGTGGAGAGCCGAAACTGCTCAAGCACCATGCTTTGCAACCTCAGCGATCTCAGGCCAGGCCTGCATGGCCGTCGAAAAGCTGACGTTGTCAGGCGGGACAGCGTCGTTTCGCATGGATGCAAGGATGCGCACTGCGCCGTCGCAGTCTTTGACAGCAGCATAAGCCTCAACACGGCTCCGGCAACAATTGCGCGTGAGTGCCCATCAATCTGAAGCCGCCTTGAGAAGTGTATTGTAGGAAATCACGTCCGGCTTCATCCGCTGCTGCCTGCACAATGAAACACGAACTTATCTCAGAAATCACCTCTGCAAGTCAGCGCCTGATCTGCACAAGAACTTCTTCTGCTCCTCTCACATCTCCTGCAATCCCGATCCCATCTTCGCGAAGACTCCAGGATCCTCGTCTCCCTAGGTCCTTTTCTGGCACGGAGGTCCATCAAAGCCCCGAACGCTCCGAGGCCTCCCCATCAGTACACACTGCGATGACGCGAGGCGGCCTTTGCTCCAATCTCGCAGGCCTCCGCCCTGTGAGGCGTTCAGCTCTGCCCATTCCTGGCAGGTCGCGACAGCGACAGCGACAGCGACAGGTGCTCTGCTCGGTGCTCGTCCTCGGTGTCCAGGTGCTTCGCCGTGGCGAGGCGCAGCTCTGCGTGGTCGGGTCCCACGCAGAGGCCAGGGCGAGGACAGCGGAGGAGCCTCGGAGCGAGCCCGCACCTCTCGCACCTCTCCCCCTCTTTCTGTCTCTCTTGTTCTTCTTCTCGTTCTTCTTCCACTTCACTTCCTTCACCTCCCTTCATCTCGGCGCTCTCTTTGACCGGGCGGCAAGGGTCGCGGGAGGCCCTCCAGCCGAGGCAGCAGGAAGGCCGCTCCTGCACTCCCTCCTTTCCCTCCGTTCCCTCTGTTCCTCCGTTCCTCTCCGGGGGCTTTTCTTTGGCCGAGGCACCGTCCTTGCTGACGATCAGGCGCTCGGAGGAATCGGATCTGGGGTTTCAACATGTCTCAACGGCTAATCGTGCAGGCTGTGCTCAAGCTCTTTGCTTCCAAGAGGCATGGGCCACGTTACCTTAGAAGCGGAGAAGAGAAGAGATGAGAAGAGGGGAGAGAACGAGAGATCGGGTGGTGCCTGACTTAGGGCTGGGGAACCTCTCTGGAGGTCTCTGTCGAGCTGCGCCAGCAGATTCAGCTCCTTCCCGCATGCCTTATGCGCAGGCTTGCGAGACGCATGCTGAGAGCTTTGAACCTGGTCTCTGATCTCCGCTGGTACAGTACTGTACTTCTTCTTCTTCTTCGGACTATAGGCAAAAATAAATTCAGTAGTGAAACTTTGATACAGTGTCACCGCTGCCAAAGATACGGCGGATCTCCTCGGCCTGCAGGCGGAGCCAGTCCACGGCCAGCTTTTGGTCGTACAGGCTTGGGCTGCCTGTCATGCCTGCCCCAACACCACGGAATGGGTTCAACATGGTTCAACGGTTTCCCTCCAAGGAAATTGCCGCTCCTGGTTCCCACTGTCGCCGGAAGCAGGCCACGAAGAAGCCTGCATGCCGAGAAGCTGCAGAATTTGGGAGCAGGTGTCCCAGAAGCCAAGCGGCCCATCGTGTCAAAGGCGTGTGGCCACACTCGCAGAAACCCATCCTTTGTTCCCGTCGCATCCACTCCAAGGCTGCACCTCACAAACACCGCAACTCGTGACACGAAGAAGCATCAACGCCAAAGCAACAAAAAATGCAGGGCCTAAGCCAGAGAGCAAGTTGCGGGCCTGAGATCGACAACCTCTGCGGAGGGATAGTGCTGCAGCAGCCGGCGGCACGGTGTCTCGTTCTCCTGCGAAAGTCAGCTCCATCGCGTCTGAAGGTACATTTTTTGCATATCTGGGATGCCACGTCTTGCTCGGCCTGCGAATTCAAAGTGCAAGTGGAGTATACCAAGGTACCTCCGGGGCCTTGGGTTGCAAATGACCATAGCCTCTCAATCTGCTTGACGCACCAGGCCGCACACTGGCTTTAAGGACTGGACGAAGTAATTTCCAGGCACTCTGCAGCAGCTCCCACTGAACTTCGGAATTGGAACGAACACATTGCTGGTAGCCCTCAGACAGAATGCGGTCCAGCACCTGCAGTGACAGCGTACTGGTACCAAGGGATACTTTCGCTTCCCCTTCCCCCCAGCTGCACCTCCGGATACCTGCGGAGATTGCCTTCGGCACTGCAGGGAGCATCCAGGAGTACGGCATCGAAGCAGCCCGGTGCGAGGTCGCCGAGGCATTGCCCAGACTCCTTTCAAAGCGCAACTGCTACCTCCGGATTCACGCACTTTCAATACCCCGCACCTACATCGACGCTGCTCCTGAAGTATGAGGCAGTCCTCGGCCACACCTGACCTCAGCAGCAGAGTCTCAAACTCTGTCTGAGCAGCCTTGACCTTCTCTAATTTGAGGTTCGGGCCTCTGAGATCGACGATCGGCAATTACTTCTGGGGATGTGCATTTTACAATGGGTACTGGCTGTTCAGTCTGTTGACCTGATTCGGCTGGCAGCTGTTAGGTGAGCGACCGAACGACGTTGCAGCGAAGCACATCGGAGCGCTGCGGCTGGGAATCGTTCGCAACCAGCAGACGGGAGCTCAGGCTTCCTGCGCAGCTGCAGGGCTACTACTCGCTACAGTACCACCAGGACCCACGCCGCAGGAAATATTGTAAAACCCATTCACCAGCGCCCAATTGGCTGCTATATAGACCATCAATGCATTGCTGCTGCCACGTTGATCCGCGCTTGCCTCGGAGGCGAAGCAATGTGAGAAGCTGCGTCGCCTGCCGAAAAAACTTAAGTTGCTAGCATAGCAGGTTCGTGTCATGACTGCAGCGAGATTCTTGTCTCTTCCTCCTCGGAAAGCTGTTGATGGCTCCGGAACTCAAGCACTCGATAGAACTCCATGTTACCTCTGTTTCAGTTGTTGCATGAGCCTTGGAGCCCGGTGCAGCACAGAGGTCCAGGCAGCGCAGGTCGCCAGTTTGTGGCAGCTGAGACCAAAGCACCTCGACTCGCAGGCCGAGGAAGGCAACAAACGGATTTCCACAGCGTGCCAATGCGGATGCTTACACCTCCGCGAGAATTCCTCCAACCTCTCTTGCAACGTTCGCAAACATTCCAGGGAGTCTTCTACCGTTGCTCATGTCATGCATACTGGCCCATCAGCTCGGCGGAGTGCTGACACCCTGTCGTCTTGGCAGAGTTCATGCACCCGTGCTTGCGTGGCTTGCAGCTTTGCATCTGTTCAGAGCCCTGCCTGCACCGGCAGCATGGAAGCAAGCTCCTCAAAAGGAGAAACAACATGATACAACATGCAACTGCCGCTGAAAGCCATCCAAGCCCCTGGGCCTGGAGGTAGACGGCGCCGGAGAGCTGCAAGGAACTGAGGGAGGCGCCGTCCTCGCCGTCCTCTGGGCAGATTCTGAATGCTCTCCCAACACTCCTTATTGCCGTACGCGCACTGCCTCCACGAGAAAGCCATCGCCACACCAGGGCGCTGGGCTGGGCCGGAAGCCGTCGCTGCGCAAGCGCCCTAGAAACTCCTGCCGTCAACATCAGCTCGCTTGGCTTCCCGTCTCCCCTCTTTCTCCTTGCCGTCGCTGCGATCGAAGCGGCAGCCGTTGATGCGGAAGCCTTGGTGGCGGTGGCAGTTGGCATCATGCAACGAGGGCCTCGAAGCCGGGGAACTCCGCCTTGGGCGGCGCTGGCAAGAGCGGAGGAAGGAGCGCAAGGCAAGAGGGTGGAGCCCCAGAGCCACCGCCTCGCAGCTCTGGAAGTTTGATGTTTGACGTTCTCTTTCCGTCAGGCTCCGAGCCGAGCCTCGGCAAGGAAAGCCCGCGTGAGTCCCGGGGGTCTCCGCAGCCGGGCCTGCGGCCTCGCAGGCCTCGCAGGCCTGCTGGCGGTCGGCGACGCCACAGCAGCCGGCATACCGGCTGTACGCCATCGGGCTCAGATTATAGAGGGTGTGGAATCTTTGAAGATTTTGCGCTTCTGAGGCTCAGTCTTCCAAAACCTGCCAGCCTATGTTTGAACAGGACAGCCTGTGTTTGCAGACTCTCACGAGACATGTCTCAAATCAAAATTTGAAGCGAGGCTTCTTTTCCCACGCGGAGGCGTTTCAGCAGCAGAACCTGCCGTCCAACACTCCAACCCTATGGCATGGAAGCAACACTGGTCCTGACATGCCCCTGCTGGGGCCTCGACTGGACTCCGGGAACATTAAAGAAGTTTCGGGAAACGGTGGGACTAGTCCTCTCAGCATCGTACTGTAGCCCTTGCGGACCACCTGCTCGGTGCAAAGTCACTGGCTATGCTGCACTTCTTGCTTGCATTATGGATGACATCTCAAGCCACGCTGCCAGCCTCACTTGCCGTTCTGCATTGCCTGGACGAGCTCTGCCTGCCGACGCATCTG